GATGCCACACTTCTCCTCATACAGCCCAGCCTACCGGATAATCTGCTCTGCATACAGGTTGAAAAGGTATGGAGACAGGACACATCCCTGGTGTACATCCTTCCCAATTTTGAACCATGCAGTGTTACCCTGCTTTGTTCTTATGTTCCAAATATTTTGCAAACTGCCTAGCATGCCTCAATTAAATGTTGTAATTATTTTATAATCATTTATAACTATAGGAAGAATAAAGGTTCTACTCAGGAAAACAAGAAAATGTTGTAAAGTGTATCCTAATAATGTGGGAAGCAAACTTTAAGAGAATGATTTGAATTTCTCATTAATTACCAAGAGGCAATTGTTCTGACTTTAGAAAAATACTAATGCTGCTTTCCAATGCTTCCCTTAGCTCTTTTCTTTCTTCATCTAATAATCTATACATGTCATCAGTCAAAAGAAAGCTATATTATAAGCAGAACCTGTCGCATAAAATTATATGGGTTTTTTTTTTATCTGAGAAAATACTCAATTTCTCTCACATCTATTGTTTATAAAGGAGACAAGTGTGAAAAGGTGATTTAGGTATAAAGTTTCCCTGGATATCCATAGTTTCCCAAGTGGGTTTTGTCTTTGTTTTTTTAGGTGGAGGGGAGTGAAACAAAAAAGGAAGGTAATCATGAAGGAATTGCTGAGAGGAAAAGAACACCTATCTAAAACCAAACAACCCCCAGCATGTCATGATCTGTTGCCTGAAGAAGAAAGGGCTCACATGCATATCTCTAACTTAGTAAAAACTATTTTTCCTTCAAAAAGAAAATCTTACCAGTCACTTAGCTTAAAAAAATATTTCAGAAGTCTTCACAAAATCCAAGAACACTATTGCTGGATACAGCCTTTACTATTCTGCTTGTACTTTCCAAGTAACTCTTGGGACAAAGAAGCACCCAAATACCTATAGCAAAAAAAGTCAATGCCTTCAAACTAAAGATCTCTGGGTCACTTCTAAAAAAAGAACTAACACATCACTCAGGAAACTACTGCCATTTCTTAATACAACTTACTGTGATTTCAGTTAGTTTATGTTGTTGTTGTTTTATGTCGAGTCACTTGTGACTCACAGCAACCCTATGTGCAACAGCCTTAAACTCTGCTCTGTCAGGTGCCAATCGCACTGTCTCTGAAACCCAGTCACTGAATCAATCCACCTCATAGAGGGCCTTCCCCTCCTGCGCTGTCCCTCCACCCTTCCAAGCATGATGTCCTTCTCCAAGGACCGGTCTCTCCTTACA